GCACTCCAGTCTGGGCGACAGAGTGAGACTTCAACTCAAAAAAAAAAACAAACAAAAAAACGGCGTCTTGGCCAGGCACAGTGGCTCATGCCTATAATCCCAACATTTTGGGAGGCCGAGGCGAGAGAAGTGCTTGAACCCCAGAGTTTGAGGATAGCCTAGGCAATATGGGGAGACCTTGTCTCTACAAAAATCCCAGGAAAGCCGGGCTCGTTGGCTCAGTCTGTAATCCCACGCCTTTGGGAGGCTGAGGTGAGTGGATTGCCTGAGCCCGTGGGTTCGAGACCCACCTGGGCAGTGAGACCTCATCTCTACAATAAATTTAAAAAATTAACCGGGCGTGGTAGCGCGCGCCTGTAACTCTGGCTACTCGGAAGGCTGAGGCAAAAGGATCGCCGGAGCCCAGTAGGCGAGGCTGTGGTGGCCGAGAGCGGCCACTGCACTCCAGCCTGGGCGACAGAGTGAGACTCCAACTCAAAAAAAAAATCCCAGGAACAATTAGCTGGCCATGGTAGCATGCACCTGTAGTCCCAGCTACTCAGGAGGCTAGGGCAGAAGGATCACCTGAGCCCAGGAGGTTGAAGCTGCAGTGAGCCGTGATTGTGTCACTGCCTCCAGCCTGGGTGACAGAGTGAAACCCTGACTCGAAAAAAAATAAAAAGAGATAGAGTCTTTCTTGAACAGGGCTCAAGCCATCTTCCCACCTCAGTCTCCCAGTAACTGGGACTGTGCCACCACCCTGACTTCCAGAGCTCTTCATATGGCCCCTGGGGTGATGCTCACTTGGGTTGCAGGATGACAGTGCCCAGTGCTAGCACTGTCCTGTACTCTGTGTTTCAGACCTCTTACCTGTTCTGTACGGTTTGTTCACAGGCAGAGGGAAAGAGCTTCAGAGAGACTAAATGACTTAACATAGCTAGTAAATAGTGTCATGATCTGAATCCAGGTCAGGCTAGCTCCGAAGTCTGCACTCCTAACTGTAGCACTAACCTCAGGCTGGCTAAACTGATGCCCTTCCCTGAGTGACGCTGAGACTGGGGAATGCTAACCAGCCGTGGCACCTTTGATTAGGAGAAGTACTTGCTAAGCAAATGGAAAGAGACGGGGCGCGCCAGGGAGCGTCCACTCCAGCCCGCCTGTGCTCCTACCCCGGATGACTTTCGGCGCTGTGCCTCTGTCCTTAAGGGCTCTTCAGCCCTATCCATTTGTCCAGCAGCTGATGTCTCTCTCTTCTCTCCCCGACACTCACTGCTCTAGAAGGAGACGCAGGGGTCACAGCAGCTCTCCAGGGCCTCTGCTGTCCCTGGCAGCCATGGGAACTCTCCTCCCTCCCGTTCACACACACCCCTCCTGTGCTGCCCACGCAGGTCCTGGTGCTGTCCTGGATTCTCAAGGGATGGGCAGTTGTGCCCTGACTGGTCTAGGCCAGTGAGGGGGGTGACAATGTCCGGATGAGACAGGGCAAGAATCGGGATTGACTCAAGTCCTGCAGAAAGCAGGCTCTGGGGAGTGAAGGTCCTCTTCTCCCTATTGAGGTGACGGTGGTGGTCCCCCTGCCTCTCAGCCCAGGGCCAAGAAGCATCGCTGTGGGTCAAGTGTGTGCTCATCGCTCCTCATGGATTAACCCCCACAAGAAATACAAGACGGGTACCACTGCTGTCCCCATTTCATGGATGAAAAGCTGAGGCTAAACCGGGCTCGGTGGCTCAGCCTGTAATCCCAGTGCTTTGGGAGGCTGAGGTGAGTGGATTGCCAGAGCCGGCGGGTTCATGACCTGCCTGGGCAACTTGGCGAGACCTAATCTCTACAATAAAAAAAAAATCAGCCGGATAGTGCATTTCTGTAATTCCGGCTACTTGGAAGGTTGAGGCGGAAGGATCACCAGAGCCCAGCAGGTCGAGGCTGCGGTGGGCAGGAGCGGCCATTGCACTCCAGTCTGGGCGACAGAGTGAGACTCCAACTCAAAAAAAAAAAAAATTGCTTTTTATATCAAAAACTTTGAGAACACATAGTAACTACAGCTTTAGGAAACATAAAACTATAATAGCATCATTTTTGTTAATATGCCACGTTTTTCAATGTTTTCCGTTTAAGCATTTCTACATGAGTAATTTGCTTAGTAAACTTCTTTTTCTCCCCAAATCAGATCACATCAATAGAAATTCTGATTTGGAGGGTCTAAATCAGTGATGCAGACAGCCTTAGTGTAGGCCAGAGCCATACATGGGGCCAGTGAGCCCACAGACCCTCGGTTAACCCCTCTCAACATTGTGCCTCTCAATCCCTTTGTGGCCTGTCTGTGAAATCCAGGTTTGTAGCGTCTGTCTCTAGGGTCATGGTCAGGGTTAAATAGGACTGCTGGAATGTCCCAGTAGGCTGCCACTGCTCTTCCTCCAGCAAGTGCGAGTGGCAGGGAATCGGTGGGGGAGAAGGGGAGCCCGTGCAACAGACAGCAAGACTGCTATGTTCTGTGTGATCCCCCACTCAGTGTGTCTTTCTCATTCCCTCCCCCCACGTCCCCTCGGGTTGGAAGCCTGAGTTGGAGGGAGGGGAGGAGCACTGAGTCTTGAAGCTCTCAGCAGATCTAAGTCACAGCTGTGCTATCTATAGCCCGGGGGAGCTGGGGGTCAGAGGGGGGGACTTGTCGCTTTTGCCTTGAGCTTTGAGTGAGGGGATGAAGAGGAATGAACCAGACAAGGAACAAGGACGCTCCCGTTTGGGATTGGAAGAGGAAGAGCCAGTTGAAGTGCTGAGGGACTCGGGGGAGAAAACAGGCTACAGGGTGGCGGCTGGGGGACCTGAGGGCTAAGGAGCGGGGTAACTGGAGCAACTGGAGAAGTTTCTAGATAAGGCGGTTAGGCTGAGGTGGCCTTCTCTGCAGGGGAGGGGGTATAACACCCCCTCTCCTCCTTAACAACAGGCACTGGGTTCCAAGGCCCTCCTAACATTTGTCCAAGGACAGCCTCAAGAGCCACAGGCCTGGGGCCAGGAAAATGCGTTTGGTGCCCACTAATTTTCTGAGGAGACTGTGCATGTATTGTGAACGGTTGTAAGAGGGTGTGAACTATGGTGATTGGAAGGCGGAATCAGACTACAGTAAGCTGACATTATAGAATCATTTCACTCGAAGGAATGATTCTGAGCTACAAAGGACACCAGCAGGGGCTCCTGTCCTAGGTGACAAATGGGTGCTCCAGAGATTTGAAATGTCTTGCTAAGGTTCTTGTGGGGGGGTTCTTT